TCTAACATGAAAGACATCAGAAGGTTCATGTCCTGTGATGGATGCAATTTTCAAAGGTAAATATAAAGGTAAATATAAATATAAAAGGCAAATATAAAATAAAATGAAGTATGGAGGCCCCACTTATTGGGTTTCCTGCAGACTCCAATCTCCTCACTGTTGATTGTAGCCTCCTACCAGGGGGATACAGTTTTTCTCCCTGTGTCTGGGAGGCAACAGCATAATGTTCTAAGCACATGAATACATCTCCTCAAACCCCTCCATCCCCTGGGTCAGCTGGACTCAGAGGCCATGGGCAGAAGCTGGGGCTGGTCCCTGGTGATGTTTGGCCCAGGATGATTCTTGGGAAGACAAACCTATGTCGCCTTCACGGACCCCTGTGGTTTTCATTTCTTAGAGTGACTCAAAGGAGGATGGGTGTAATGGGATGTCATGCAAGTGCTACTCTCCCCCAGACTCTTGTTTATGATTTGGTACCCACAGCATCACCGTGCAGGCCTGGATTACAAAGCTGTCTTCTCCGGGCAGCGCTGTCTGCCAGGCGGCTTCTGCAGCTCTTCCCTTTTTTCATCCTCCTCCTACAGCTGGCTCTTTCCAGATGAGAGGAATGTAAGAAAAGCAGATTTGCTTCCCCACTTGCTTCCCCAGGGAAAGAGTACAGAGGGCCTGCAGGGGTCACTTCAAAACAGAGCTGCCCAGGTGTTGCTGTCTGCTGACAGGTGTCTGAAGAGTTTAGACAGTGTTGCTGTATACTGTGCGCTGCTTCACCTCACTAAACGTGTTGTTCGTGGCAGGTGTCATGATTTCCTGGAGGTTGTATCCGATGGTTCAACAAGGTTTCCACACTGGGATTCTGGGGGCTGTTTCTAGGAAGGCTGGTGTTGAATCTTCTTCACCATCAAATCAGAGCACCATGGATGCCCCTTGGTCTGAACTATAGTTATCCTGTACTTGGTAGCCACACTGAGCAAGTGTGTAATGAGATGTTACATGCTTTTAGAAAGGTTTGGTGGAGTCCAACAGGCCATGGCTGCGATCAGCCAGCGCAGACCTGAAGGGGTTGGTGCTCTGTGTGGTATACAGCCAGTGACCATATGATGAATCACTATGCAAGGGCACTACACGGCGATGGGAAGTTCCTGGTAGCCTCTGCCCTCCAGCTAGTATCTCTTGAATTAAAAGGGGAAGGGGCCATAGGCCTCCTCCAGGTTTGCCCAGTCGTTACTTGTGTATACAGTCCAAAGTCACTGTTTGGGATTTCCTGTCAAATTCACAAGGTTATTCTCCAGCTTTATTTCTGGGTGGTCCATGTGTGCTGTCACCATCTGGTGGAAAATGATGTGCCACTTCCTCCGCAGTACAGCCAAATGCCCCTGTGACCCTCTCCAGATCTCCCCTGCTGCAAATTCCATGATCAAATAAGGCTTGGCTGGTGTGTCGATTAAGTGGAAGAGTTTAATGATATTTGGGTGTTACCCAGATTCTGTGAGGTCCATGTCAGTGGTGATGTGGGAGGCCTTGTTGATGCCCTTGTCCAAGATCTTCACAGCTACTTGGTGGATGTGGCAGACAAGCTTCATCTCTCTGTAAGTGTGCCATAGGCAAAGATCGTTGAGATCTTGTAATTGTCTTTGAGAGTTTCCTCATCTGAGGGGCTGTCCTCAGGCTCCTCCTCCACTGCCTCTATGTTAACTTGTGAAGCATGATATCACTGTACAGTGCTAAATGAAACAAACGGACAAACAAACAAACAAAGCAGGTTAGAGAAGTGCATGGCTGTACATTTCTATATCACAAAAACCAGAGTTAACAACTGAATGATGCACTTCAATGTTATGGAAATATAAGAACAAACCAAACCCCAGAGCATAGTCAACAAAACATAATAAAGATCTGAGACAGAATTAGTAAGGCTGATTAAAGTTCATCACATGTGTGTATAGAAATGTTATAATAAAATTACCTATCTTGTACAGTTAATATATACTAACACAATTTGCAATAAGAAAAAAGAAACCAAAGTAAAAAAAAAAAAAAAAAAAAAAAAAAAAAAAAAAAAAACAAGCATATATATATCTATATGGTGGTTTGAATGAGAATGACCCCCATAGGCCCATTATATTTTAATATTTAATCTCCAGTTGGTGGAAGTGTTTGAGAAGGATCAGGAGGTATCTCACTTGGAGTGGGCTTTGAGGTTTCAAGACCCAATATTTCTCTACACTGTGTGCTTGTGTCTCAAGCTGTCAGTGCCTGCCTGCCTGCCTGCCTACCGTCACGCTCCCTGCCATGACCCTCTGAAACTGCAGGCCCCAGACACTCTTCTATAGGTTGCCTAGATCATAGTGTTCTGTCACAGCAACAGTAAAGCAAGTTTGTTGGTATAATGTGATAGTCATTCTAAGCATCCTGTCTCAACTCTTGTGTAAACAGGACAAAATAAAGCAACTGGACACAATGTTGAGCAGGGAGGAGCCAGAGGGCAGGAGATGAGTGGGAGGAGAAGGAGCAAGAGGAGAGCTAGGAGAGCAGAGCTGGAGGAGAGATCTTAGAGGACATGGAGAATGAACCAGACCTAAGATTTCACAAAAAGCAAGTATAATGTGGGAAATCTAAATGTTAGGAAACTGAGGGCTTGGAGGTTTAGGAGGGAGTAACTATTGCCCAGCATTGTGTTCTAGGTTAACTAAAAACCCAGTCTCTGTGTGGTGATTTGGTTATACAGCTGCTGAGGATTAACAGCAGCTTTACCAGAAGATACAACAAATAGTAAATATTAATCACCACTTACAACAAATGGTACAGGCAATGAGAAGGTAAAGGACATTGACTTTTCACGTTATTAATGAAAGCAGTAGAAACCCTCCTAAGGATACACTCAGGAGACTTTGTGCTTCCCTGGGCTAAACATACTGGCATTTGCTGGTTAGGAAGTGAATGTAGGGTACTTCAATGGTCTTATGACTGGAGCCCTAAAATTCTGTAATAATTTGACTTTTGAAGATCTCATCATCTCTTCACTCTAGCTATGCAATTATCCTTTTCATTTAAGCTCAGGTCAATTGGTTTAAAAAATAGTAGCCCCTCACTGGTGCTGCAGTGCGCCCTGTGTACACATCTGGAGGCACCAGATCCATCCACGGCAAGTCCATGTGCAGGGGTAATGGGAGAGAGGAGGCCATGACTAACACTCCAGTTTTAGGATCTCCCCATCAAAAGTGAGCGTGGCATGCACTGGGAAGACCACCAGGTGCCCGGAGGCTCCATGCGCATAGTCTAGGGCCATCATCAGCCCAGCTCTCTGCCCCGCACTCTTCTTGGCCACCGCTTCTGCCCAACCTTAGATCACCTTATGCTGTGCCTCGCATAATGATTGCACACACCCAAAGCAATCATTTCTGTCCCCAGAGGAATCGGGGATTGTCATTCTCCATTTGGCGGGGGCCTGGATCTCAGCTGGGGTCCTGGAGCTCGGCTTCCAGAAGGAGAACAGGGGTCTGTTTCTCTCGAGGGAACTAGAGCACTTTAGGGGGAGGCCCGAGTGTGCTAAGCCGTGGTGTGGAAAAAGCTTTTCCACAGAATGTTACAGTTTAGTTCTTTGAGCATGAGATCTTTGGTGGCAATGGAAGCTCCAGCATTTCCAAGCCTATGGCAATACGAAGTGTACAGCGCTTGGTTAAGCTGCTGTGCTGAGAATGGCAGGGGCATGGCCAAAGCCCATGCCTGGTCAGCTTGTGGCCAAGACACAGACCCGGTGAGGCCCAGGTCAGGCAGGCCAGAGGGCAGGCCCAATGAAACAGCTCAGTGGAGGATAATTGACGAATCTCAGATGATCTTGACATAAGAAAGTGTGTACCTTTATTTGTGTGAAATCAAGGACAATATAAATCCTGGGTAGAGAGAAGGATTGTGCGGGTGGTTGTGTTTGATTCGCTGGGGTCAGGGGTCCAGGGATACTTAATGGTCCTATCACAAGAAGGAAGATACAGTACTTAATTACCCCATGGGGGGCATCTCCAAGTACAACTGAAGGTCAATTGATGGCCAGACCAAGAACAGGCATGTGCCTCCGAAAAGGCTATTGGTGTCCAAGCTTAGTGGTACAGAGCTTTTAAAGGCAAAACTCACAAAGACCATAATTTACATCAAAGTCAGATGAGGGTCAAAGTAACCTTAAAACTTTCATTATTGACAAAGCATAGTCATTATTTTAGACACAGCGTGTCATTGTTGATTCATAGCTTTTAAATTTATTTTAGTTTACTTATTATTTTGGTTAATATATGTGGACCAAGGAAATCTCAAAAGGGAATCGTGGAAGTCTCAAATCTCAAGGCAGACTGAGGGCTATCTGAGCAAACACAACATGGAGTCAAAAGAAGACGTTGCCATGGTCATTTCAGCAGCCTGCAAGTCTCACCTAGCTTAAGAAAGGTGTGGCCCTCTCTGGGGAAGATCTCTTCCCCTACACACCAGTTTCAGTACCGGTGCTTGCTGGCCAAGAACGCGAGGTGTGAACTCTGTAGCTGGCCTAGCAGGGCCTCAAGCAGCTCTGTCCCTGCAGGAGGACAGAAGCCTTCATTCCACACAGTACTCAGTATTTCACTCTTCTGAGGCTAAATTCATTTGTGTGTGGTTTTAATGGCCGCTGTTAAGTTGCGGCATACAGTAGAGGAAGCACTTGATTATAACAGAAGATGCATGCTTCCTACACTTTGTCCTACTGCACAGCCCGTTTCTGTAACAGATCAAGTGTGTTGGCATCGCCGGCACTAAATAGGCCGGGGGCGGTACAAGCCGGGACTCGGCAAGGACGGAGGCTGACTATAATGAGAGAGGCAGCAAAATCCAAGGTCAGGGTCAGGCGTCAGCGTTCGATGGGCCAGCGCAGGAAGGGGTCTAAGATGAGCTTCCAGCAGGGCTCAACAGCGGGGAAAGAGGAGCCTCAGAGCGGAAGTTGCCCGAACAAATTCCGCATGTGGGCGGGCTTGGCTCACTGCGGAGGAAGCGGACGTGGCGGGGCCGGGGCTCGGGCGGCGGGGATGGCGGCGCAGCTCGGCCCGCACGAACTGCTGCATGTCTTCTCCTTCCTGGAAGCCCGCGACCTGCTGCGCGCCGCGCAGGTGAACAAGGTGAGCTCGGGTCGCCCCACCGCCGCTCTCCGCAGGCCGCGCCCTCCAGGAATTGGCTTTGCCGTCTGCTCCCTGGGCCCTTCCCCGGTTGCTTTCTTGACCACGCCCCTGTGGTGGATGTCAGCCGCCCAGCTCTCAAGGACTTGGTACAGGGCGACTAAATGCTTTTCCCTGCCAGATTGATTACTGAACGGTGACAGAAAAGACGCGGAAAATGTCTTTTTAATGTCTCTTCCAAGTACCTACTGCCTGCCTTGCATTTTAGTCTCTTCATTAAGTAAATCAATGTTCAAAGGTTAGGTACATCTTAAGTACAAATTAGGTACAAATTAAGTGCTTGAACACAGCACTTAATTTGTAGTTTCAAACCTGTTCGGTTTTAAAACTGAACCCACAGAAAGACACCAATACTGTTTATTCTAATCTTGTCAACTTTGCCAAAACCTTCAAACTGCAAGTATGCCACTCTTCAGACCTCAGAGGACCCAGAGTTGACATCGGGCAGTGAAGCTGAAGGTTCTAAATTTCAAGTATGCAGATAGAGCATCACCTAGTTGTTGTTATTTTTAGTTCTGGTGAATATGCCTAGGGCCTGGAGCTAACTGTGCACTACCAGCTGAGGGACTTGTGTCTGCCGCTGTAGTTTGATCAGTATCTCTGGCCACTTCTTCTCTTTGCTACACTGTAATACTTCTTGGGGCCTGTATTTTTTCTGTTGTATCTGTTGCCAAAACTTTGGGAGCTTGAGAACTTACCTCACATTGTATCAGTTTGTAATTGTACACCTTGTCCCTGACACACTCTGGAAAGAAAATAGAGGCTATGACTTCACCAGTCTGCCTAGAGCAGCTGTTTAACATCTCGGTTTATCAATTGTGAGGGCCAAAGGTACGTTTTAGGTTTAAGTTACTGTGCTAAGGAGATGTTTAGACAAAAATGCCCCCAACTTGCAAGCCCCACTTGTCTAAAGACAGATGACCTCCTGGAATGCTAGGGACTGTGCAAGTAAGAACTCAAGCCAGGTGTTTCCACCCCTGTAGGCGAGGTTGGTTGCCCCAGCTACACAGGATGTGCTTGACCACGTGCAGGCAGGAGGTACGCAGGCAGGAAGTATGTGAGGGATGTATGCTTGCTCCTGTTTGGACTAAGGTGGGAGGTGTGCAGTCTTGTGGGTGCTGCCGTTATAAGCCCGTGTCTAATGTAATCTGGTGCTTTACTCCAGAAATCCCAGTGTCTATCACCCTGGCCAGTATTAGATAAAGCTTGCTTCAAATTTGGCTCAAAACATTTAGTGGTCTTATTCTTGCCTGGTGGGCTTAATGTACCACATAGTAAACAAGTAAACAATCTACCTCCGGAAATGGGTTAATTAATTTGACCCGCAGTCTCAGGCCCCACTGAAAATGAGGGAAGCAGGGTCTGCTCCAGGTACCAAAGCCTGCTAAGGACCTGGCAGAATCTGTGAAATAGCTGGGTGAATTCTGTTCCCTGTTTAGAACTGGTGTGGCCTGATACTAAATCAGAGTAGGACATAAGCATAGGTGCCAGCTGCCAGCATACGGTCTCTGGCAGGGGAGGAAGAAAAGGGCACCTTGCCTCTTCCAGGTCCTTCTCAGACCAGAGAGCACCACGCAGTTCCAAGTCTCCAAGGGTAATTTTAATTATAGCTAGTAAATGACTGAGTTTCATGCCCACGTTTACGCATACAGAAACTGAGCATCACACAGTGGTTTATCAGCGCTGATGATGGTCAAGTGCAGGGCTTGAGTTGAGTGCCCAGCTGTTTTTGCATAAGTAGGCGGGATAGTTTGGTGACAGAGTTTGAAAAGGGTTCATTCTGCTCCTTGATACTGCCCTTCATGGTTATATAATCTACCCGTAAGTTATATGAGGTCAGTAATCTCTGTGCATTTAACAGAAGGCTCCTTAAAGGTGGCCAGTATTCATTCTGTGGAACATCACACGTTACATTCTCTACTTGACACACAAGATCCCATTTGGCTTTGAACTGGGAAGATGCTTAGATCTTTGCTGGTTTGATTTTGCAAAATTACAACATCATTACTGGATAAAAAGACTTCTCTCTCTTTCTTTTCTTCTTTCTCCTTTTTTCCTCCTCCTCCTCCTCCTTCTCCTCCTCCTCCCCCCCCTCCTTCCCTCCTTCTCCTGATAAGAATCTCATAGTTCAGGCTGGCCTAAAAATCCTCCTCATCCTGCATCCACCTCCCAAATGCAATAATTACAGGCGTGCAGTAGCACATTCAGCCATCTTAAGCTTTGTGCAGATAGCTCTGTGGCGGGAAGAGAGAGCAGGGCTCGCAGAGGTGCCCATCCTGGGTGACCGTTTCCACTTGACCATCTTGGCAACTCTAAGACATCCCTGTTGCCACAGCTCCACATAAGATGTCTGAAATCATTTCTAGTTCTCATAGCAAGAGATCTTACTTAAACACAGCTTGACCTTGTCACTCCCCTATTCAAAATGCTCAAGTAGCTTATCAGTGTTTTTGTGTGGAGACTCGGGAGTGAATCCACCCAACCAACTCCTTTCCCAACCAGACTCTCATGTTCTAACTGAGGCAAATTATTCAACTGTCCTTCTCATATTTATAGATTATTTGCATATCTAGTATGTTTCCCTACATTGCTTTAGAACAACTATCCAGTCTTTGAGTAGTCATTGTTTTTCCGAGCCTCTGGACCCTAGCCCACTGAAGCTCTTTTTTCATTTGGTGGTGTTTTGTTTGTTTGTTTGTTTGTTTGTTTTTGTTATTTATTCTTCTCATATATTACATCTGACTGCCGTTTCTTCTCCCACCTTTCCCCACTTCCCTTCTCCCCCAGATCCACTCACTCCCCCTCTTTTTCCCTTCTGAAAAGAGCAGGCCTCCCAGGGATATCAACTAAATATGGCATTCCAAGTTACAGTAAGACTAGGCACAAACCCTCATATCAAGTCTGGAAGAGGTGACCCAGTAGGAGGAAAAGGATACCAAGAGCAGGCAAAAGAGTCAGATACAGCCCCTGCTCCTAACACGAGGAGTCCCACAGGACGCCCAGCTGCACGACCGTAACATATACACAGAGGACTGGGCCAGACCCATGCAGGCTCAGTCTGTGAGCCCCAGTCAGCCCTGCTTAGGAGATACAGTGGGCTGTGGGAGGACTCAGGGACACCTCCAGCTCCTCCAGCCCCTCCTCCCCCTCTTCTGAAGGGTTCCTCAAGCTCTGCCTAATGTTTGGCCATGGGTCTCTGCATGTGCTCATATCAGTTACCGGATGGAGCCTTTATGATGACAGTTACACTGGGCTCTGGTCTGTTGTGGACTGGCTCATTTGGTGCTTTATTTTGTGTATTGTTTTCAATGCCCAGGCCGACCTGTGCTGAGTGCTGGGCTGGTTTTGGCTTTTGTCCTGTCCGTGGAGTTCAGCAGGCTAGGGTGCTAACTAGTTACTGACTGACCAATGCCATCTTTCCCCTCCTTATTCTAGGTGTGGAATGAGGTTTCAATGACCAAGGAACTGTGGAGGTGAGTGAAGAGGCAAGGGCGGTCCTGTAATGGAGAGGTGTCCCTGGAAGGACAGAGAAAGGATTATATCCCTGGTCCTTACCATGAGGAAACTCCTCTGTGGCTAATAGTCTAAGACTTTGTATCAGCAGGATTGCCAAACTCAACCGCCTGGATTCATTTCCTGTGGTTTGTCAGTATAACTAAATTACTTAAAAAAAAAAAAAAAAAGGGTTCAGGGCTGGAGAGATGGCTCAGAGGTTAAGACCACTTACTGCCCTTCCAGAGGATCCCCGTTCAATTCTCAGCACCCACGCTGTGAACTGGCATTTCACAACTATCTGTAACTCCAATTTCAGGGAACCTGTCACCCTTACGCCCATGCTCATATATATAACAATGCTCATATAACGTTGAATATGCTAACCCCCTCTAATTTATTCCTTCTTTGGAACGTATTATCCTTTTTATTTTATACTAAGATAAAGCTAACAGCAGCTGGGGGAGGGGCGGCAGACAAGTCCTCAGTTACCTCTGGCAGGTGGGCAGGAGCCTTGAGGGTCAGGTGGGAGTTGTATTTTGGTCACACTTAGTGAAAAACAACTGTTCAAACATGAAGCTTCAGCAGCCGAAGGGAGCCTTTTATTTGGAGTCCTGTGACCCCAAGAATCCTCAGTTATTTCAAGGCTATCTTAGCATATCTAGTCTTCAACACTGAACAGCACCATTCTGCTCGTTGCTTGTTAGTTCTTATACCTAATATTGACTGTAAAAACAACGTCAGCAGTTTTGAAGCAGACTGTCGTTGCTTCTGTCTGTTCTTGGAGGAACTGACTTTTAGTTAATTGTGGGTAATGCAGGTCCTGCCGAGCATGTGGCTCAGAGAGCTCGTCAAAATGAATGAGACTGGTACAGCTGCTGCTGAAGGCCTGGCATGATGGACACATTTATGAGGGGGAGATGCCAGGCCCAATCTTAAGAGTTTCCTTACATCACTTCTTATAAGCCGGGGCATTTCCCTGAGTGAAATATTGTTTCTGAGTAGTTAGAAGAAAATTCCTTTCACATCACCTACCTTCCTTGGACTATTACAGTCTTCTCTTACTTCTTTTCTTTTCTTTTCTTTTTTTTTTTTTTTTTTTTTTTTTTTTTTTTTTTTTTTTTTTTTTTGCTGTAATATCATGATTTTTCATTGTTGATAGTTGTCAATCCTATGCAGGTCTAACAAAATCATTCTGCAGCCCTTCCTGTCCAAGATGATACTCCCAGTACAGCAAAGGTTCAGAGAGCACATGCACCTCAATCCCATGCAGACAGTGGAATCCTGTGTGCCACACACTACAGTTCTTACACACTGAGTCGGACACGTGGGTGTGCATGGGTGCCTTGGTCAGGGTTTCTGTTGCTGTAACAAAATGCCATGGCCAGAAAGCAAGTTGGGAAGAAAAGAATTTATTTAGCTTCTGCATTGCTGTTTATCACTGGAGGAAGCCAAGACAAGAACTCAAACCGGGCAGGAGCTGATGCAGGGGCCACATGGAGGGAGCTGCTTACTGGCTTGCTTCCCATGGCTTCCTCAGCCTGTCTTCTTACAGAACCCACGACCACCAGCCCAAGGCTGGCACCACACACCATGGTCTGGGCCCTCCTGAACTGATCACTAATTGAGAAGATGCCTGACAGCTGGATCTCATGGAGGCCTTTCCTCAGCTGAGGCTCCCTCCTCCCTGATGACTATAGCTCGTGTCAAGTTGACACACAACCAGCCAGTACAGTGGGTATATAAGTTAGGAGAAGAGACACTCTGTAGTGATGGTGTCATAGGACTGTGAAGGGCATCTTTCCCATCTGACCACATTCTCCTCTTCCTGAAATGACTGATGCTGGGTGGCGGCAGAGGATTCTCAGCTTCAGTACATGCCAGTTCTGAAAGCTGCCCTCAGTAAGGCCTCCCCAGCCAGACTGCCACTGTCCTTGCACTCGACCCCTTGACCCCCGTAGAACTTCAGACAGTAGCTTGAATCCACATGAAGAAACAAACACCAGCAAAGGTAAAGGAAACTACGTAGAAACATAATTTCAAAGTAGTGTAAATGCCTTTTGTAATTTTTTCTCCTGTTGTGTAAAAGCAAGAAGCATAACCCACTCCCTGTGTCCAGCTCACTTCTCCTCAGCTGGGGTCTAACCCCACAGATCACACATGCTTCTCTTACACTTCTCACACGTACGTTTTCCTTTTTAAGACGATGTCCTTCTGTACAGCCCAAGCTAGCTCAGCCTCAGCAGTTCTCTTGCCTCAGTCACTCAGGTGCTAAAATGACAAGTGTGCATCTTTACACCGGCTTATGAAATCTCTTAATGGACCTAAGATGTAAGCAGATGTAACTTGTGACAAATAGTAAAGGAGGGAGGACAGAAATGGACACATACGAGCAAGTGTTTTATATACTCCTGAAAACTGACTGTGTATTAATCAAGGTGTTTCATACACTCCTGAAAATTAATTGTGTATTAATCAAAACTATACCTAAATATATCAAAATTCAAGTTAATCTTCAAGGCAGTCACTAAAAAGCAACTAAAAATATGGGGGAAGAAACGACAAAGAAATTGAAACAGTGCATAGACCACACTTACCACAAATGATGATAGTAGTGAAATGTGGGGGTGCAGCCTGTCTTTTGCTACTTAGTGGGGTTTTCCTTCTATCCGTCTCCACCCCTTTTCTTCCACCCTTTCACCCTCCTAAGAGAAAAAAAAAGGGATAGAGAGGAAAGCAGAAAGGTCCCTGAATAGAATCAGGGGCCAGAAAGGGGGCAACATTATCATTAGACTACTTCCTGCTGATTAGGGGTGTTGAGTTTTTGGGGGCAAGTTTCTTCTTTGCCATCGGTATATCTACAACTACTTAACAAATTGTGACCAACAACAACCCACCCACCCCTCAGGGCCATATCGTTTATATACCCTCAGGATTCCAAACATCACACAATCGCAGAAACTGTGCAGCTGGCAAAATCACACCGCTGCTAGAGCAGGAAGCAAATCATAGTCAGCTGCTTCGAAGCAGCACCATACCACCACTCCTGGGATTAAAACAAAAACATATTCCTATGATCTTTCTGTGCTTTTTTAAAGGATCCAAAACTCTCACTATATAGGGGGGAAAGGCTTAAGACAGGAGAGCATTAAAATAACAAAAATATGATTACACAACCTAATGAAAAGGCAAAGATCCACAGAACTGGCAAAGAAAATGGTCCAACTTAATACTGTATATATGAGATACATTTAGTTTTCGTTGTTGTTTTATTTTTTGTTAGAAGATTTGGAGATCAGATCAGTACCAGTGTGCATGCTTGGCAGGTTCTCTACATCTGAGCTATGTTCCCATCTCTGAGACACACTTTGGATTAAAAGACATAGTATATTGACAGTAAGAATTTGGAAGAAGGCATACATGCAAACAATAATGAAAAAAAGGCTAAATGACTAATGACATCAGACTGAGTAGACGTTGAGAGGAAACCTGTGAAGAAGTGTGTTATAAAATGATAAACAGGTGAGTCTTAAGGAGGCAGTATGGCCCCTGGAAACAAGCAACAGAATGGAAGGACAGACACAACTGAAAATGTAAATGGGCAGTTTGACACAGCTGGAGACTTTAAAAGTGGCATCTTGAATCCTAGTTCAGCATCTGTGTCCCCAAGAGCAGGATAGTGGTGAGCACCAGTTCCACAGGGCTGCCGTGAAGGGCAGTGTGTCCTATAAAAAGCAGGCATGGTTCGCATGTTCCCACTCATTTACTGTCAGTTTGACAGAGAAGAAAGTTGAGGCCTACTTGGGGACAGTGAGTGATCTATGGTTTGGAAGCCAGAATGAGGTGAGGCCAGAATCCAAAGCTAGACCTGCCTTCAAACCCCACGACTGCTGTACCCTCCCGAGCTTGTGTGTCTCTGTGTCAGGCAGCTGTGTCTGAGGCGCTGGGCCTCCTGCAAAGCCTTCCCAATGGTCGTGGGCACACAGACGTGGAAACAGTACTATTTCTGCCGGTCAGAGCTGGAGTTCCGTGTGGAATCCGGGCGGCCACAGGACTTCATCTGCAAAGCTATTTCTGGGCACACAGGTATGAACTGGGGAGTAGCTGTGTCGACCCCCACTGCCCACCTCTTGATCAAATCTCAGGGCACTTGGCATCTTAGCTAATGGCAAATGCAGGTCTTGTTGGATGTTATGTCATTTGTGGCTATATCACGGGAGGAAGGAATAAGTTATCTTCTTTTCAGAGTAAACTGCAATAGGACAAGCCAGGCCTCTGTAGTCATAACTGGGCCCTGCTCTCTGGAGTGGTCATCCATCAGCTGAATGGTTATAAGCTATTCCCTGTCTCTTCCGTGTCCCCTGAGCAAAGCACTTATTGTGTCCCTGAAACTGCAGAAGAAGAATGGCTGTGTCAGATCTGAGTCCGCCCATGCCTGTGCTCTCTTCCAGGAAAGATAGATGAGCTGGCCTACATCTCGCCCCACGAGTACCGCTTTGATGACAGGGCCAGGTCCGTGGTTTGCACTGTGTCTTCAGACTGTACTGTGCGTGCCTGGGATCTACGTGAGGTGAACTGCGCCCTGGGGAGGGAAGGATCCCTATCTTGTCCTTGGTTTGATTATCTTAATGCAGTGTAAGCACCCCATTTTGCAGATGAGAAATCTGAACTCTGGCATCAGCTGTCACCAGTCAGACATAGGGATAACAAGCACAGGGGCTTTTGAGACCTGAGTGTAACCGATCTTGTGTGACACTATGCTCTGCCTCCTCATGGAACAAGACCTTGCGGGGGCTGGGGGCTGTTGTGGCCCTGTTCCTGGGGTGATAGCTGCTTTGTCATTCCCCACATTCACTGCAGGCTGTGTAGTCATGGTCCTCCCTGCTGGAACTCCTGCTGCCACCTGGAGGTTCTGCCAGATGACAGCTTTTGGTCATCCCCAAGTGTGTGTGCGTGCCAACCTAGATAGCTTGCCTAGAATTTAAAACTTTGTTGCCTAGAATTTAAAACTTTGTTAGTACTTGTGCAGATGTAAAAACTAAAGACTTCACAATTTTTTTTTTCAGATGGGATCTCACTCTGTAGCGCGCACACACACAGTGAATAAGTAAATAATTTAAAAAGAAGACTTGACGGGTGGGCTTTCCGTAGTTCCCAGAAGAAAAGAGAGTGCCTCCCTGTATGGGCCAGCAGCATTTCCGTTAAACAACTAGACTGTAACATTTTGCTTCTTGTAGACCAGAATCTCTTTCAAAACTACTTAACTCAGCTGCTGGGACACAACAGGAGCCATATAGTAGCATACTGCAGTAATACTTGGTCATTAAATTTTTCTTTAAAGCCAAAATACAAAAATACCCAACGGCCCGTGGGGCTGCAGGGAAGCCATGATGTGCAGGTGGGCGCCATTCTCTCCAGCATGGGCCACCTTCAGGATGCCAGCAACCCTTCCTGCCGTTTGTCCTGGCTTCCCGACCTCAACACTGCTGGAGAGCAGACCTTGCTCCGTCTTCCTCCTTTAGGACTCAGTTTTTACCGCTGCTGCCAGGTAACACTGGCCCTTGCTTCCCGGGAGCACAGTGTTTGCGCGTGCTCTTTGGAGGTGACTGGCGGTGGGATCTGCAGTCCTCTCAGGAAAGGTTCTAACACAGCGGTTCGTGCCCCTTCCTCTCCCACCATATGCCATCTAAGGACACGAGAACCTTCACCACATACCAAACTTGCCTACGCCTTGACCATGGACTTTTTTAGCTCCAGAAATGTGAGAAAATCCATTTCTATGCGTCACAAATTGTTCCATCTGAGACCTTAGGCCTTTTGTTACAGCAGCCCATGGCTTTTCTCATGTAGTCTCTGCCCTGACGGTTCCTCTGTGTGCTTTACAGGATCTTGTGTAGCTCAGGCTAGCCTTAGACTTCCCCAGTGTTGGCATTTCATGCATGTGCCACCCACTGTTGGCGTTTCTGTTTTTGTGCCTTGAGCTTCTAAAACAAAAATGGCAGGCTGGGAGTTCAGCTCAAGGAGACAGCACCTGCCTCGCCTGTGTGAGACTTGGGGTTCAAGTCCTAGTGTTAGAGGGGGAAAGTCACTTCACTTTAAATAAACAATAACAACAACTAGTAATAATAACTAGTCAGTTCAAATCAATGGTCTCCATCCCTTTCTTTTAATCCTTGAAATTAACAGTGTTAACAGTTTGGCCTTCCTCCAGCCTTTTTCTCTGGCTTTTGATACAGGTTGGATTTTGTGCTGTAGCTCTGGCTGGCCTAGAACTTAAGGTAGTCTTCCTGCTCTTTCCTCCCTGTCCCTGGAATTGCAGTCCTGAGGTACCATGCCTGGATTATTTGCCTTGGTTTCATGATGGTAATTTCCATCCATCTACATCCAGATACAGGATCCTTTAAGCATTTTTTTGAAGGTTTGCTGTTCATGTATGTATGTGTTCGCCTTTTTATTCAGTCCAGGACTCCAGCTCATCAAATGATATCACCTCAGCTAACCTAATCTAGAAACTCCCTCTCACGGGTGGGCTCTGTGTGCCATGGAGCCCAGTAGAGGGTAGGTCCAGGTAAACCTATGCCGACTGATGAAAATAAGATGTATCCTATGTTAATTTTGTTGTTGCCAGGGCACAGAGATCTGGTCCAGTCCTGTGCAGCCTGCTCCTCTGGTGACTTTGGTGGCCTATCCTCAGCTGCAGCTGGTTGTCACAGTGGACGTAGAGGGCTTGATCATGGGGTGGAAAGCAGAGACCGGGGCGGAGTGGGCTTCCTTCAGCTTACCAGCCTCCTGTTCGTCAATGGAGACCTGTGACCACCCAGATGGCCCCTTCCTGCTGGTGAGTGACCCTGCTCTCAGGAGCCCCTCAGGGCTTAACTATAACCACCTCTTGGTTTAGGCCACTGTGGGGACTGGAGTCGGGATCCCTCCTTTTTGCCCACCATGTGGAATGCTGGTTCCCCTGTCCTTCAGAGACTTCTGTGTGGCATCAGCCTTTCTCTGGAGCCTCTCCTGTAGTGGGAACCTGCTGTGTGGAGCCCCTGTGGTTTTGTAGACACATGCCCTTGCTTTCTGTGTGCTGACTGGTGCTGGAGTTTCTTCTGCCTGTGGTTTTTCTCCACTCCTTCTTTCCTACCAGCTTGTTGTGAGGTGCGCCGCTCCTGACCTTCAAGAGCGGGGCTGCTTCCATCATGTGCTTTCGTGCCTGCACTGAAGTTCCAGAACGCCTTCTTTTCAGTTAGACAGTGTCTAGCCTTTCTGTTGTCTGTCGTTCCTTCAAAGGCTGTCCCTCCAGGGTTGTGGTGGGTTAAATTCAGGCTCCCTCTCCTCTCTCAGGACCCCAGGGTAGTACCATTTTGAACAGGGTCCCTGATGCAGTGCCTGGACACTGTCCTCTGTGTCATGCAGTGACAGAACAAGAGCCTGTGTAGTGCTGACTTGCCCACTGGGGAAATCATGCTGTCACCCCAACCTGCAGCTGGCCGTGAGGGTAAGATAGGTGGTCCTCGCCAGGGTGGAGCCTCTCCATCTTCATGGTGCCCGGCTGCTCTTCTTCCTCCACACTTCCCAGCTGTTGTCACTCTGAGCTTAGAATGTGGCTGTTCCTATTCTCTCGTCCTTCACCAGGTCACATGCAGGCTGCCCAGTTGGGTCAGGCACCTTACCCAGAGGTGTTAAAATGTTTGTTTTTCTACATATTAAGTGGTACTGTGCTTTGAACTGGTTATGGAGTTTGCTGGTTCATGTACATATATATAGATAGGGTCTAGGCAGAAGCACACACTGAAGCAGTAACTGTAGTAACATTTGTACTCGGGCAGAGCTTTCCGACTTTGAAAACCTTTTCTTTTGACTTTTTAACTTGCCTTAAGTGTGAGAGGAAACATTTTAAATGCCAGACACGCAGGCAGACTGCTTCTGTCTAGACTGGAAGGGGTGGCAGAAGGTCAGATGCCAAGGTCCTTCCGGAGGCTTGCTCTGAAGACTTACATTGCTGTGGGCCATGCCTGCCATTGGGGATGGGAACACAGCTCCATGGGAAAATGATGGCACTCCTCATTGTTACTTTCTCTCTCTTCCAGGTAGCCTGTGCTGAAGGGAGCCTCTATACTCTGACAGTACCGCAGCTGCAAATGGTCTCCAAGGTAGCCACATTTCCTCGTGCCTCTGTGAGCCTCTCGTGCTCACCTGACCAACAGTGGGTGTTTGTGTCTGCACAAGGCTCAGACGTGGGCCCCAAGGTCAGTGCCTGCGGATGGATCCCTGTCCACAATAAACGTATTGCAGTGGGAGGTGGCTAGGGAGCCTGGGTCCTGAGGCTGCAGGCTGCAGGTTCTTAGGCCATCCCAGGGCCAAGCCCTGCAGCGAGGCAGGGGTGCACCTCTCCCCTGCAGGAAGCCCAACCCCTGCTACCCTCTGCTCTTTCCTGTCTGCTGTGAGCTAGAAGGGCCAGCTCTCTGCTGGGGAGGGCAGTCAGTTCTGAACGGGTTCAGGCTTGGCCAGCTCCATCAGGATGGTCCTAAAGCGCCGTCTGGTATGCTGAGGACGGGGAAGAGATGAGGGAGTGGTGAGGCCCGATGCAGATGCTGGGGAAGAGGGAATTTGATGTGTGGGGGTGCCCTTCGACCCTGCCTCCTGCACCATGGTAAGGAGGAATGCCCTGCAAGTCACAAAGTCCTGACCATGACCCGCTTCATAGGCACAGAGATGTCCAGTCATGTGCCAGGACCTAACCTAAAAGTTAGACCACAGAAAGAAGAGTTAGTGGAACGTAGAGAGAGACCTAGTAGCCGGGGAAGAAGGTCACTAGGGAATAGCAGTTGGGTACAGAGGACACGGGATGCTGCAAACCACAGCCTAAAACGGGGACATGGACAGCCCTGTCAGTCTAAAGTGTGGGTACGTGGGCAGCCAGCTGTGTAGACAGTCCTGCCAGAGGCTGAGGTCAGCTTGGGGCTGGAGGCTTTGGGGAACCCCAGGCCCCTCACCACACTGTGACCATACAAGGGTGTCTCCCCAGCTCTTCTACACTCAGCCCCTGCTACTCCCATCAGAAGACGGACTTCCTGTCTCCACCACTGTCCCGGTCAGGCTGAGCTCCAGAGCCTGCTGGGCTCCTGACGAGGCGGCCAGGCTGATGGTGCTGCACAGGGATGATGGCGGCATGCACCTGGCGATCACTACCTTCGAGTTAAAGACCAGCAAGTCCAGGGGCAGAGTGAGCATCCTGGGTAAGGTCCCCGTGCTGGCACAGCCTGCAGTTGGTGCTTCAGGACAGGCTTCTCTCAGTTCCTCTAGGACATGTTCTCTTCCCTTCCAGGGAAGTAGAGGCAGAGTGTCCTGGAAGCTTTGCTGTGTGATTTCACATACTGGGTGGTGGAGTGCTTAGTACTAAGTGCTTAGTAGTTAGTACTATTGCTTAGTCCCAAGCTTCACAAGTAAATTCCACACCTGTGGTCCTCTCCTGTGTGGGCGGCAGCACCCCAGCATTTTGCTGCTGCTAGGCTGGGTTTTAGGGGTCTAAACGACTGGGTCAGGAGCAGGGCAGAGCCATACACTTTTCACTGTGCTCTGGGTCATCAGGTGAGGCACATAGCCACGCCCGAGAAGCAACCTGTGTGTTTTTATTCTTCCAAGCACAACAGCTGGCCAGCTTCCCCTTGCCGGACAACTTGACTCCTCACCTCATGCAGGGCCACGGCTCCCAAGTGATCCTGCTGGCCTCCAGGTCGGAGCTGGTGCTGTTCACCATCCATGGCCTGCAGCTGGTGGCCTTCCAGGACCACCAGAAGCCCATTACGTCTATGTGGGTGGTGAGTGGCCCTTCCTGCCCGAGGCATGCTTTCTGCTCCAGGGAAGCCACAGCCCTGCCTCACTTGACTTCATTTCAAGGATCTGAACTGTGTCATCACCTCTGCCTTGGACCTGTCGCTGCGTGTCTATGTGTGGAATAAGGAGAACACATCTCCTGTCCTCAAGAGCTGCTATCATTTGCTTGGAGGATCTCACAGATGGGCCAGGTAATTGGCTCTTCTGTCCTGTGTCTGTAGAGTGAAAAAGCATGAACAAGTCTTGTCATGTTGCCCAGGCTGGCCTCGAACTTCCAGCATCGTGATCTTCCCATCTCATTCTCCTGAACAGCTGAGAATGGATGTGCAAATCACATCTTCTCAAAGGAACAACTCTAAAGGAACTGGTGGGAGGGTGTCTGTAAGTGTGGCCCCATTAACAGGCTCTCAAGATGAGCCCCTGTGCACATCCTGTTTCTTTTTCTGCTAACAATCAAAAAGCCACAAATGGCATTTCCAGCTCTCACTGTGCACTGTAGGTTGTCTCCTCTATTGTACAAAACCAGCCCATGCTGGTATTATCCCCAGTTTTCAAGTTAAGTATATGAAAGGCTTATTAAATGTCTTATGCATCGTCTGCAGAGAACAGGTGTCAAAACCAGGGTTAGACCTTGAAAAGACACTGTAAGAAACAGTTGGTCCTGGGAGCTTTCACGGGCACTTGCCTTTGACCACTGATGGATTCACTGCACATTCCCCCTGATGTCTCTCACAGCACTAGGATCTCTGTGGTTTAGGCAGCTCTGCCAGGGGGACCTGACATGACCTTCCCACTGAAGAATGGAACAGTGTTTTCCAGGCATGGCAGAGGGCTAGATAGAGCTGGGAAGGTACAAGCTGGGCCGCACCTTCATGTTTCCATGCAAACATTTGCCTCCATTCCAAGGGTAACACCTGGTGTGTCCTTCTTTGTAGTGGATTTACCCATGTGAAAAGCGACAGCGTGAGCATCGCCGGGGTGGAAGCCAGAAGCACCGGAACAAGTATTCTGAGGTCGTATTGCTACAGAGTTCACCTTAGCGCCACCAGCTGAAGCTGCTCTCACCTTGGGTGCATGCAGACTCTACCAAAGATTTGTCACCTTTGGGGAAAGAGCCACTGAGAGCTGTATTCTCGCAGGAGCCAGTGAAGTAGTTTCTATTGCCTGTGTTTCACTGTCCTGCCCCGAGAAACAAAGGAGAGTAAGTACCATCTCTGAGGCTTCTCAGGTGCTGGTCACACACAGTGGACTGTTTGTGGTAGTGCCACACAGCCTGCTGGCTTGCAGTGTCAGGATCGCTGCAGAGTTGTTTTTGTTATGGAGAGTGTCATTAAAATATCTTTGTCTGCCTGTGCTGTGTTGTACTGTAGACACACACTCATGCACAGACTTTGCTGTCACTGGAATGAGTTCTGTGAGACCATCTCAAAACCTCAAGGGCACCAGCAAAGCAGAACGAAGACGGCAGCTTTAGAGTTGATCAGCATGTGAGCCTTGCTGGGTGAGTGGTTGTGCCATGGGTTTCTTAATTACAAGCAGTGTGTTCTGGCAGTTAACCACCGAAACCAAAAGCGGAACTTGGTAGAAGTCAATAGAGCATCTCACTTTCGAAGGGAGAGCTGCAGAACCAAGATGGATCGAGGCAGCATGGGCAGTAGCCAATTCAGGTTGTGTTCTCTGCTACCACTGAGCAGCTTCTAGCCGCCTCCATGGAAAACACGTCTCAGCTGTTCCTGGGAGAGAGGTGGGGGCGGGGAGCAATATGTGTGTCCATGCTCCTCTGACATCCCATCTTGGGGTCTCAGGGGTCACAAGTCCACACACAGGAAGGAGGAGCCTGATTTCTTCATGTGCAGGAGGTACCTCTAACAAAGACTCACACAATGGAGAGTTTTCTATCTTGAGGAATTTTTCATTATTTTTGAAGAATAAAGACAGGAACTTCAGACTGTTTTGTAACGGAAGTTTTAGTTTCTTTGTAAACTCAGTTATGTTGTGTAAATATGCTTTTGTCTTAATCCCAAGTGTGGGGTTTTTGTTGGCCTATAGTTTATCCACAGCTGATACCTGTCTTGTTTGGGACATGGCCTTTGACAGCTGGTAATGGCCTGCCTTGTGTGGCACAGAGAGGGGTGTGGTCTGAGGATATAAATATGAGCACCTAGAGAGAAGAGTGGTCTGTGGTGGTGGCATGTGGTGAGGGACACTTTAGAGAGATGGATGGTATGGTGGCTTAGAGCAGACAAACTGAGAGAAACACTTCAGGGCACAGCAGCCTGTAGGAGCCTGCTGGCTGCATTTGCTGTTGACAGAGATTGGTATAGCCCTAAAAGAACCCATTACCCCTAAACAGCCCGGAGAAATAAAGGGGGTCTGCGCCCCTCTCCCCACTAACCCTCTCTTTCCTACTTAGGGTTGAGGAGCTGGAAGAGACTTAAAAAAAATAGCTTAAAAACGAGTACCACATTGCTTTGCCTAATATCTGAGTGCACCTGTTTCTTACATTAAGCCTTTAGCAACAGTGTACATGCCATAAATAACCATGGCCACATAGGACACGGATGATTCCATAAGAGTTCCTGCTCTGAAGCTGCCAGTGGGAGTCCTCACCTGCCCCCACACAGTTCTATATGATGTTCTAACTCATGACCTAAGAATGAAAGTAAAGAGGACAGAGCCATCCCTAGATGGCAGTGGGGAAAAGGGTGGAGATGAAACCAGCAGACACAGCTACCATGGCCCAGCAAGAAAGAGAGCTGCCATGTTGTAAAGATGATGGGAAGATTCTGACCAGATGGAGACACTGTGGGCACGTTCTAGTTACAGGTGCTCTTAGAGGCAGCATCCTCAGGACACAGACGGATTCCTGTTAAATTCCCTCCTTGGGAAAGGGTCCGCTCTAACATGAGGGACATGCAAGGCTCCTACCCAAACAGCCCACAGACAAGCATGTAAAGCTCTATGAGCCTGCCTTCTGCAAACCAAGGAGTCAAGCCTAGTACCACAGGCTCATGACCTCTGCCATTTTGAAAGTTGAGCCTAGTCTACTGAGTGAGTTTAAGCAAAGCCTAACCCACTTACACTGTCTCAAAATAAAAAGTAAAATGAAGGCTAGAGATGGATATCACTTTAGTGCTGCAGAGCACTTGCCTAATTTGTGGGGCCCTGGGTTTAAGTCTTGGTGATATAAAAAAAAAAATTGAAGAACTATATAAAAGCTGTTATAAAAACTGTATAAAAGTTTGTATGCTTCTAAGTATTATGTTATAAATGTTATCTGGAGGTGATAATATAGAACTTTTAAAACATGAACAAGTTCTAAAAATGTTGCACTCTTCTATACAGTGTTTTAGAAACCTAATAAAGGTGTTAGAATTACTAAGAAAAACTCAGCAACAGTGGTAAAAGCAACCCACAAATGAGAGTCTGTGTACCAGTGATAAGATGAAAAGCATCCTGTTCACAGGAACAGTAGAATTTCCAGAAGGAAAACAGAGACTTTCCAGGACAAAGTCATTATTTCATGTTCTCAGGTCAAGTACTGACAGTATTGCTATATTTTTTTAACATGGAAAAAAAAAAAGATTCTAAAAAATATATCTGGAGCTACAACTAGTCAAGACAGTCCTGTAGAAACAAGAGTTAGAGAATGGGATAGAGCCGCCCTGTGAGATACAAAGGAAAAGTAAACTTGGATAATTAAATAATGATTGGTCGGTCATACAGCAGAATAGAAGGTCACCAAATAGCATGAGGATTTAGAAACTTACACACAGTAGGTAAGGTTTTGAGTGGTGTGTGGGGAGCAAAGCTGAAGAGACTTTGCCCCAGTGCGTGGAGTTGGATCTTCCCACATGTCAACACATTAGAATTCCTCAAATGGAAAAAGTCAAAAGGAAAGTCACAGACAAAATTGGAACCGGGTGTCAGAGTTACTGATAACCCATGGCAGAATCTCTAGTTCCTGCCCCCCACTCTTGTCATATAAAGGAAGCACACTTCTCTCTACTGGGTCTTGTGACATCGAAAGACTTACTTATACATGGTGTATTTTGTATGAGAATGCATGCTTTTAGAATTGTTATGGACATGAAACTTGCAGGGATAAGAGTTTCTTATTGCTCACATGAACAACAAACTGGAAAGCAGCCAAATTAAATTGCTGATTTTCAATAAAAAGTGACATACAGAGACATTGTATGGAGCAAAGAGTGACATCATCCACAGAGATAACTTCTTCCTCATCACATATGCTGCAAGCTAGATGTACCCTCCCTCCCTTAAGTCTCCAAAGTCCAGTCAACACAAATGTCCTGGCTGGTTTTGTGTGTCAGCTTGACACAAGCTACAATCATCAGAGAGGAAATGCCTCCATGAGACCCAGCTATAAGGCATTTGCTCAATTAGTGATCAGTGGAGGAGGGTCCAGACCACAGTGGCCCTGCAAGGGGGTAGGTGGGTGGTCCTGGGTTCTATAAGAAATCAGGCTTAGCCAGCCAGGGAAGCCAATAAGAAATACCCCTCCACAGCCTCTGCTTCAGTGCCAGCCTCCAGGTTCCTTTCCTGTCCTGAATTCCCCCAATGATGACCAGCAATGTGGAAGTGTAAGCTGAATAAAGCCTTTTCTCTACAACTTGCTTTTTCAGTCATGGTGTTTCACTGTAGCAATAGAAACCCTAACTAAGATAACAACCAGTTAAGCAAAAGAAAATCTGAGTTGTGAAGTATTTGAACATGGTCTTTTTTTGTAAGATGCCATGCACAGTGTAAAATTTCTCCCTAGGTTCTCACTGTTTAAATAGCAGATGGAAGTCTCACTACCCAGGTTTGCCTGGGACTCTCCATCCTCCTGCACCTTCTTGCTTCCACTGCCTGAGTGCTGGAGTTGCAGATGTGAGCAGCTTACACAGCTGACCAAAAGGTAAAGCTTTCCTATACCAAAAGGTACCGTAAAGCTGAAAAGCATGCTGTCAGTTCAGTCCCCAAAGAAGCTAACAGACAGGAGTTAGGTATCAGTGTGGACAAAGACACTGAAGTGGTTGCTTAGTGGGGTAACCTGGGCCTTCCTCAGAGCCCCCAGCTGAGGTTACGTTCATTGCTCCTTAAGAACCACTGCTGAGTGTGAAAGTTTAGAGACCACTATAATGATGAGAATGTGTTTTCATTTTAATCCCAGGTGTGGGATATGGGGCTGCTTTGGATTGTCCACAGCAGCTGACTATCATTTGCCTTGTGCTCTAGCAGAAGCATGGTTTTGTCAGCTGCAGATAATTTCTGTGATCGTGTGACATTTAGAATTCTGGGAACTTTTCAAAGGGTATATAAATGCTAGGGCCTCAAGGGGCTGGGCGGGTGGAGTTGTTGGTCATTAGCGGAGCTGGTTGAAGTTTGTTAGCAGTTGTGCTCAAAGAAGAAACAAAAGCAAAGGAATTAGATTCAGGGATCTCTATCTCTCTCTCCCCTGTATCCTTCTTTCTCTGCTATCTAGTGATAAGGGGGTGTGTGGGCATTGCTGGCAAGAAACGGGGCTCATGGCCTGGGGTGACTTCCGCTGTCACCCCTATGGGTCTAACTAATAAGGGTCTGCCCTTAACCTACTGTGTGACAGAGCAACCTTTAGGGAGTATGCACCAGGAAGACGGGTAGCCAATGACGGGTAGGATCCCAAGAGTTGGGGCAACCTAAGACAGGCACCGTCACTTGAGGTGACTGCAGGAGTAGTCGGGCAGAGGGCATATGGCCTGATGTTGGGGAGCCTGCCCCAAGACCAACAACCAGTAGCAGGCTTGGAGATGGTGTGGGGGAACCTGATTGGTTGCCCAAAGCCATATAACGTGCTCTCTCTTCCAGGAATAAACGAGTCTGCATCTGCTCGCCCTCGGATTGCATTCACCTGGCTCCCAGTCTATGTAGTGACTCCAGCACCTCTCACCCCCTTGGCTTGGATCCCCTATCTTCACCTATGGCTTGGATCCCCTGGGAGGAGAACCAACAGGGATGAAGCGGGGAGAGGGGATAAAGGGTGAGGGAGAAAAAAAAAAAAAAAACGACAAAGTAGCAAAGACCAGCAACAAACACCCTGTGAAGTACCTATTTCCAAGCACCTGTAATCCCGTTCCAACCTTTCTTGTTGAGCCACTCCAAGAAGCACACACATAACACACACTCAGGCAGTAATTATAGTAATTTGGTATACAACATTTTTTTTTTCAAATGCAGAGGGCATCTGCAAAATCTTAAACTCATAAAAACACTAATTCTTGTAGCTACTAGTGATCAACAGAGACTCAACCACCAGTATGCCACCCCAATACAAACAAGGACCATGCAAATGTCCAGCATCATGACAAGCCAACATAGCTTAGCCTTCAACATAGCTCTCCACTGCCTTCCCTTACCAAGACAAGGCTAGAAATTCGACAGTCATACTGATATCCAAAGAACACCTCACACACAGATGTGGGCAATGAGAGGCTGAGCCTGCCATGCCTTTGATGCCCAGCTGAGTTGCCCCAGATACGACAGTAGATAAACCCTAAGCTTGTTTCACTATAAGATCACATGCTCCAATTCCATTTAGAACTGCCCCACGAACTGACCTTCACAGACACACGAAGAATGCAGGTGGCAAGGGTAGCCTAGGGTTTCTGAGAGAGAATCAAACAGCCTCTGTTGGCTCAAGGTTTCATCCATCTAACACTGCACAGGATTTTCTGTATTCAGTTTTGGTTTGAAACTCCAGTGGGATTTTATTAGGGAGAAGAACTCTTAACAATTTGGCCTTATAAACTCCACTAGAACCAACCTGCCATGGTACACGGTTTCTCCAATGGCACCTCCTTTTCATGACCCAGAATTCACTCATCCAGAGGGCAGCAAGCCCAACATGTATGTGGTTCACCACATAATGAAGAATAGCAACACAGAAACCCATGTCCATGGAAAATACCCACATGCAAGGGCTGGGACTTTGCACAGAACCTCTGTGTACTTCAGGGAGCATGGTTTCTAGTGATGAGTGCTGCCATTTGCTAATTAGCTGCCCGACTGTTGGCATATCTTACTATGTTTAGTCCTAAGATTTTCTTGAAAGATTTACTGTTGTTATTAATATTTTAATTTTGCTTAGGTGTGTGCATGTGCATGTGTGTGCATGTGTGCATGTTAGTATGTATGCACAAGTGCAGGTGCTTGTGTAGGTCAGAGTCGTCATATCCCCAGGAGCTGGAGTTACAGCTGGTGGTGGGCTGCCTGAAATGGGTGCTGGGAGCTGAACTTGGGTTCTCTAGAAGAGCAATCGGTGCTCTCAACCACTGACTCATCCTGCAGTCCCTGCCCTGAGCCTTGCCACAAAGACTGGAAGACTGTCACAGGAAAATGGGATGGGATTGTATAGAGTATTGAGTCAATTCAAAGGAACAAAGGCCACTGTCTGGATAATGTACAAAATGTCCCTTACATGAGCTAGGGACATGTTTCAGAGGGCCTCAGACTCAAATGAGAACCTTTTATCATATTCTCTGGGCTTTCCCCTACTAAGTCAGCCAACTAGCTAAGAACAAACCTTGAAATCCTGCCTCATGGTCAGGATGGGGGCTTACATTTTTAACCCAACAGAAAGCTGAGTCAGGAGAAATGTCATAAATTAGGGGCCAGCCTCAACTGTACAGTCAGTTGCAAGCCAGACTAGTTGCAGAGTGAGACCCTGTCTCAACAATAACCCCTCCCTGCCACCACTCCCTCACACAAACCAAAAAAAATAAAAAATCAATAACCTACAATGCATATTATAACATGTTACATAATATAACATGTATATATAATATATACATAAATAAGTCTACAATGGCTCCTGAGTATTTGCCCAGATGTTATCTGTCTTAACAAGCTGAGGCTCTTAGCGTAAAATCAGTTGGTAGTAACCCAAAATGTTCACACAGCCTATTGAATTAACTACATCCCAAGCAAAGAGATTTTCTGTTTACTTAGGGTGTGCTAATCTGCTAGCAACAGATAAACCTTCAGCTATAGCAACCCAGCTTGCTGTTGCTCTTCCAAACTCTCTAATGTGCCTGGCTGAACTATGGCTTCCTAAAATGAATACGTGCATGTCCCAATTCTCAGGACCTCAGAGTACCTGTTTACAAAAAGAGTCATTAAGGAAGTCATTAAATTGAAATAAGGCTTTAAGTGTGGGCTCTAATCCAGTATTACCTGGGTCCTTTTAAGAGGAAATTAGGATATTCACAGGAACCCAGGAATGATGACATAAGGACACTGGGGGAAGAGAGACCTTGGGAGAAACACACTGTATCCCTTGACCTTGAACCTCCATCCCCCATTCAAAGAAGGGATACATAGTTATTAAGCTCCTTGTCATGTGACTTTGTTGTAGCAGCCTAAGCTAATATTACTCCAGTGTGCTGCTGCACATAAGAACAGGACCCTCCCTTGCTGCCCCTTTCCTCCAGTTCCTGGCCTATTTCCCATCTGGGGTGCGGGTCCCCAGTTTCAGGAAATTCTTCTCCCTGACAATCTGTCAAAGTGCCACGGATATGTTGTGTTCTATCACATCTAGTCCTGCCTCTTCCTTGATCCACCTCAAAGCCGTCAAACTGACGCTACATTTACGCTTATCTTTACAGACATCTGTCTCATATTTGACCATGTTTTGAACGACTGACACACTGTCAGTGCTGCTGGTTGAGATTTAAAGCAGCAAGCACCATAGCTGAGAACCAAAAGCAATGCCTGTGTGTTGAGACTGTCCACAAAACCATCCAGGCTAAGGACAGGCAAGCAGGGCATCCATGTTTGTGACAAGCACGGCACTACACGAGTGCCTTTAGTGGTATAAGCTGTGCTGAGAGACTTACAAATGATATCACAGGAAGACGTTCCAACAGTCTTCAGAATCAATAAACAACTATTTCAAGGAGCTGGCAAGAAGCCTGGCCACTGATTGCCTGACAAGTATGTGGAACCGAGTTTCACCGCCAGCACACAGCTTTTGCTGTGTGGGATTACAGTCCACACCTGTAATCCCAAAGTTGGGGAGGTGGAGGCAGGGGGATCACTGGGGCCTGCTGGCCAGCCAGTCTAGCTGAAAGTGTAAGCTCCAGGTTCAGTGAGCAGCCCAGTCTCGAAAATTCAGATGAATTCTGTTCCACAGCTGAATAAAATTCCATCATGTACACGTGCCACGTTTCCATCAGCCATTCATCATTTTAAAAACATTTAGGTTCTTTTCTATTTCCTAGATAGTATGAACAGAGCATCGGTAGACATGGCTGAGCAGTGACAGTATGCACATGTGAAGGAGTGGTCATGGCTGGGACACATGGTAGATTTAATTTTAGCTTTCTGTTAATGCTCAACACTAATTCCACAGTGGCCGTACCAGTTAGCAATCCCACCAGCAGTAAATGGGGACTCCCCGTTCCCACATCCTTACCAACATTTGTTACTTGTTGGTTCTTTTCTCTTCTTTTTCTATTTATTTATTTGTTTGTTTGTTTGTTTGTTTTAGTTTTTTGAGACAGGGTTTCTCTGTATAGCCTTGGCTGTCCTGGACTTGATTTGAGGACCAGGTTGGCCTTGAACTCACAGAGATACACCAGCCTTTGCCTCCCTGAGTGCTGGGATCACAGATGGGCACCACCACGCCTGGCTTAGTTGTTTCCTTGACTTTAGCCATGAAGACTATGGCAAAAAAGTAATTTTCATCTTGATTTTCCTAATTGCTAAGGATGTTGAACACTTCTGGAAGTTTGCAGGTGAACAGCTAGAACCAGATACTGAGGCGATCCTGACCCAGAAAGGCAACTCACTCACTGTGGAGACTAGCTCCAAACCTTTAGATATATCACCTGGAGTAACAGCAAACATCAGGAAAGCAAAAAGGGACCAATGTGGGGGGGGGGGGCGGTGCACTAGCAAGGGGAATAGTGGGACATGGATGCAGTGAAGAAGAAAGTACAGGAGGAAACTTACCTGGGAAGGAGGGCAACCCAGAGGGAGAGGGAGGAAGGTGGGTTAAACAATACTAAGGATGTCTGAAAAAGCCCTAAGGAGTCATATTATTTTATCTCTGTTTAGAATCACGCACACAGGCCTCCCTGCGCTTACCATGGGGCCTATGATCTCACAGTGCATGTATAGAGGGTTAACCTGCCCCATCTACACCTCACCTAGGCCACTGTACCTGCTGTGTATTGTGAATGGAGACATGGGAAAAGTCACACACAAACGCACGCACACACGTACATGTGGATTCTGACTGTCATGTCTCTTCTCTAGCGTTCTGCAAAAACATTTCAAAATAGAGCCACGGACCCTTAGTGCCAAAGAACTTAAAGCTTGGAAGTTATTTGGTCCAGCCACACATTCCAGCCCTTGAAAAACAAACCTGAATGGCTTGCCGAGATCGTGGGATGTCGCTCTGCCTCAGTGACAGTAATGGCGGTGGAAAAAGCAGTGAGGGCAGGAAGGAAGGCTGCAGCCACCAGGGAGAGAGACGCCTGCAGTATGACTTACGCATGTCTACTTGACCATCAGGGCAGTCTGTGTCGGGCTCTGAGTGCAGCAACGCACGGCACACGCGGATTTGAAGTGGCTCACATGCTTTTTCCCTGCTACTGTATTATTTTTCATCTTAATTTGGCATCAACTGTTACTCACACTACTGAACCTATAGCGACATCATGAAAATCATAGCAAACGAGAAAAGAACAGGATCCAAACAAATATGTATTTTATGACAAGCATCAGAAAGAGATAAAAATAACTTTTTTTTTTTTTGTCTAAAGGAAAAAAATTAATGTGCGCACTGTGTGTTGCCATCGTGAGCTATAAAGAAATGGAATCACGTGGGAAAGCCAGTGCTTCTTCTCTGTTGTGGGAGAGACGGTGGGTTCTTTTGAAGACGTCCCATTTGTGCTCTTGGTTAAAGTCTTATTTCTGGCTTCCTGTTGCTTTTTTACTGCTTTTTTGGAGACAACGGAGACTTGGTGGCTCTGGGTGTGAAGCTTTTGGATGAGCCCTTCACCTGCAATGGCAAAGATCACCAGAATTTTGTTTGAGGAAAACAACCAGTCGTCTTGTGAACCCTTGCCAGAAAGTTCTTCAGTGCTGCTTTCTCCTTGTCAATCTCCTTGAGGCGGAGGTTCAGAGCTTGTTGTAGTTTCTGAATGTGAATCCTGGTCCTCTTTTCCTCTCCAAGGTTGGTCACAAGGGCTTTCCGCAGGTACGAGGGTTCTCGTCTAGATCTGTTCATATTATGTATTAAGGTACCCATTCCATCCATCTAACTAGGGCCAAGTGAGTGTGAGGCTCAAGGCAGGGCAGGGCAGGACAGGGCAGGGCAGGGCAGCTGCCTCTAAGTGTCTCTGTAACAGAGCGGCATGGAAACAGAGCCTCACAGAATCTTGAAGATGAGTGACATCAGAGATGTACTGATCCAAACTCTAAAATTCAGTGTTCAGGAGAAGGTTCTTACTCTAGGAACATAGATGAGAATATTTAAATGCCAGGTTGGCTGTCAAATGCTACTGCCACCCTGGGTTCCTCCTTATGTCACATGGTAAGTGCTTAGATGCTCACAATCAGGACCAGGATGTTTATGTGTATGGAGAGAAAAATTAGAAGGCTGATTCAACAATTGGGTTTGCTTTCAAAAGTGGTCCATTCTCATATGTGTGTATGTATATATTTATATATAATCATACCATACATATTTATGCTTACATATTGTATACTCATATTTGTATACATAAATTCTATTTTTATATAATATGAATTTTTATATAGTCTCTATATTTCTGTTACAGAAAGAACTAGAATGAAGACATTAACAAGGGTATATGGATTGGGATTGGAGCTATCAGTTTGAATCTGGTTTTGCTATCACTGTTGAATTCATGGCTGTACCTGCCAGCAGCAGGAATGGGTGCACAACTCTAAGGCTCACCCACGGCAGCCCAGGGGGCTCTTTTCATCTCTTGGAGACCGCAATCTGGGCAAAGCCAGATCCCAGCAGCCCAAGGGCTCTTTTCATCCCTTAGAGACCTCAATCTGGGCAAAGCCAGATCCCTCACTACAGAAGCGGTCTTAGTACCAGCCAGCGTGTCCAACTGCAGCTTACTAAAGACATTTTAAATAGAGATTTTAAGCATGAGTGTTAAAGGAGAGGCACTTGAAGGGAAAGAAGACACACTGGAGACCGCGGTGGGAGGGACTTCTCAAAGAAGAAACACACCGAAGTGTCTTGACAGTAAACACACATGCCGCCTTGACAGGCCTAACCTACATCTGAAAAGGTTGTTAAGACATTCTTCTCACACTAAAAAACCGTTTACACTAGTGAGAGGCTCTTTTATTATGCTGGCTGGCTGACAGCGGACAGCCCGGAGGGTGCCTCTGCAAGGAAGCCTGATTTGAGTCGGGGTACAGAGACCAGTTGTCTGCATGCAGAAGCAGAGCAGGGGCATTTCTGGAGAGACAAGGAACAGGCCCAGAGGACTTGATAAAGCTGGAGGCTGTAGGAAAGAAAAGACGGGAAGTCCCGTCTGAGTGGTGCCCTTGAGTCACTGGGGTGGGAGATAAAATTGGAAGCGACCATGAGAGCAGGTTAGGGATGAGGATGGGCAGGATATGTTCTTTTTGTTGTAAAGGAGCTTTCTGGTTCCCAAAAAAGATTGCAGTTTGCTGCTGGCAAGAGAGAAGGTGCATTAACTAAATGTCAGCTGTGCTGGGGTTCCTGAAGCTCAGATGAGAAGAGTCTCAACCAGGGCCTGAGTAACAGGTTTCTTTCCCTTCCAGTATCCCTATAATTTGCTCTGTTTTTTGTGTGTAAGTGTGTGCGTGTCTACGTGTCTGTCTGTGTGCACAAGTTTTGAAGATACACATGTATGGAAGCCAGAGGAGCACTTCAGTTTGATGCAGAGTCCCTCATTGGCCTGGAACTTGCCGAGTAAGCTACGCTAGCTGGCTAGCAAGTCTCAGGGGTGCTCTTATCTCTGCCTTCCAAGTGCTAGAATTACAAGCATAAGCCACCATATCCAGCTTTTTCACGTGGGCTCTGAGGGTCATACACATGTCCTCATGCTGGCAGAGGTCTTCACATGTACGCACAAAATGGCACACATGTGAACATGCACACATACCTGCTCACACGTGAATATGCAACATACCTAAACACGAACATACACACACATGGAAAGGCACACACATGTGCAGATCAAATACAGCGATGCCCATTTTGTGCCTCTTCCCTGCATTTTGCTTTCTGGCCTTCCACAATCATTTCTGGTAAAGAGAAGCAGTCCCTTAGGTTTCAGTTAACTAGCTGAGGGAGTCAAATTCCACAGGGTAATCCTTCCTGTACCTGCACATACTCTGTCATGCACGTGCACCTTCCATTCCCAAATGGATCCGATCCCCGGGGTTGGACCCCACTCAGCACAAGCCAGTGCTCCGCGCCACATGGAACTGAGTGAAGGACTGGCAGTGGGGATGCAGCTGCGAAGGCAGAAACAGTGCTCATACTGTAAATGCGAAGCTCCGAAAGAAGCCAGAACGGAAATCTACCATTGGCTGTTTTATGGAACGTGAGGTGAAGAGCTAGAGCTTTGGGGGAAAGACTGGGAGGCAAAATGACTTTTTTCTCCTGTTTGTTGTTTTGTTTTCTTTGTTTGTTTTCCCCAAGAGTTATCACTGTCGTGGGGTATTCTCTGTAATGTCTCCTCCTTGCTTTATGAACAAGTTTTTAACTAAGAAAGGAGACCCTGGTCCCAGGTGGTTGAACTTAGACTCACTTTCAACTAGAAAAGAAGATGGCGCTGTGAAGAGATGATCTCTTCTTGGCTTGGGGACTCATGGCCACCATCTCACAGTAAACAGTGGTGTCCTGAAAAGATCCCTCATGCCCCACAGCCAAAGAGAGGGAGATCTGACACAGGAGAGAAGCCAGCACTGAGGCAGGGGGATCATGATCTGGAGGCTAACCTGGCCTCCATGGTGAGGCACTACAAGAAAGTTCGTTAAAATTGTGAGACAGGAGTTACTTGGCCTACACAAGCAACACTGCTAGGCAGATTCAAATGTTAGAGACGGGGCTGGGGGCACATTTCAATGAGTAAAGTGCCTTCTGGGAAAATGTTAGGACCTAAGTTCATCCTCCACGCAAAAGGCACGGTGCAGCACCAGGTGCCTATAATGCCTGTACCCTGGAGGCCTCTGGAAACAGAAGCATCCTGCAGAATTCCTGGACAGCAAAGCCAGCAAACTGGCAAGCTCCAGGCAGAGTGAGAGAACCTACTTCAGAAAAGAGGTCAGAAGCAATGGAAGAGGCATTTAAAAGCAACCTCTGGCCTTTGCGTATGGGTGTATGTATACGCACACATGTGCACACAAATGAACTCACATGCACCAATTTTGAATCCATTTATAACGCTAATAGTATGACCCATAACTGACAATTTAACTTCACTATCTCCAGCTAAATGTACTCTGAAAAAGACAAAGAGTGATCACAAGTGCCGTGTGTCCTGGCTTTTATAACTTTACAGAAGTGCAGAGTACATCATGAAGTTTGGAGAGCAGACCAAGAGGAGCCAGAAGCTGAGATGGAGCTAAAATCTGACAGGTGCAGAAAGACATTTCTGATGTGATGCCTTTTAACAAAAGAGGACTTTGCATTTTATCAAGATAGCTCCTTTCAGTTTCTACTGAGTCGTCAGGCTTTGGGCTTCTTTAGACTGAGCCATAACCAAACAACCATGCTTAGGGCATAAACCAATGGATCCTAGGGTGAAGAGGACAGTCACTATTTCAGCCCTTGTCCTCCTGAGTCAGCTAGGTCCCACAGGACCAGGATATAATGGGACACCTCCAAAAAGGCTCTAAGGCTCCAGTTACTCATCCTCCCGATCAAAAAATTTAGAGACCTCAGAGGCTGGACTCTAACCAGAGTACACTCTACAAAGAGGAGGGCCATTACAGCGTGTCCTTGATGCTTCCAGGGGAGCCATGTGGCCAGCAAGAGCTTGGTGCATTCCAGCATATAACGCAATGGCTAGAGACCAGAGGCTTCTCCAAGGTCCCTAAAAATAATGCTTACAACACCCCAACCGACCTTACAACAAGAAGTTAATTTCTGTGTGTGCAGGGCTGTGTGCATGGAGGGGGGTGCATTTGTGTGTGATCTGGCCAGGCCTCCCAGCCTTAATCAGCA